TGATCTCCATTAGCGTCATCTAAAACTGGGCGGGTTGTCGATATAAATTTGTGGCTAGAAATCGAAATAAAGTGTTTTATGGCTCACATTGCGATTTTCCTGCGCCAGAGACCGCCTTGTCCAACTCTAGAAAATGCTAGACGTACTTTCGTTGACCAAAAACAATTTCAGTTTATGCTACTCGCAATGCGATTGCACACAGATCTACAGATTCCGTCTCAACGCCACACTTCCCACAAACGCATCTCATTGAGGGAAGGGAGGTGGTGAATTTCAATAATTTTGAGTTCTGTTGAGTTCACCAGTGATGACATCGGAAGCAGTCATGCTTGGGCTTATAGAGAGCACAAACCTGGGCGGCAGTCAGCCCAACAGACACACTCCAGTAAACATTATTGTCCGAGTGAATACTGGGGCTGTGAGGGTCTCCAAATGGGAAGTTTTCTCTGTAATCAAACGACATATAGTTTAGCGGACGTAGCTGGCGCCCACTCGAGTATTCGCTGATCAGCGGGATGATGGGTAAGTTGTGGCACTCCTTGATATGCTCTTACAAGTTGCAAAAGGAAGGAGTGATGAAACAATGACGACAAACCTCCGTTGAGTCTGGAGACGTCAGCGGATGCGGTGAATCACGAGCTCCCAATCAGTGTCAACCGTCTCATGAAATTTCCCCAGTTAGCACGTTGACAGCAGGCTGACGCGCAAGCGCGTCAGACATTTGGCACCGTATTGGACATTCTGACGCGCATGCGCGTCAGCATCTTGGTCTTTTTTCCCCGCCATGTCCGACTTCTTCCGAAATTTTTTATTACTATTATTATAGACAATACATCATCATGCCTGTAAACGGTGTGGTCCATGAAGCGGTCGAATATGCTTTAGTTAAGCGAAGGTTTTCTGAGCCTTACTAAATTTTCCGTTTAGTTCAATCTTCGACTACTATTTTGGGTATTAACAAGCAAAACAAGCAGAAAAACAATAAATGCAAACAAGCAATGTGATACCTAATGTAAAGAAATTACGGTTCTATGGATGAATGACTTGTGTTTTTCATTGAAACATTACATTACAAAAGAGTTTTGGACATCTTCCGCAGCGCATTTTGACCCATTTTGTTTATTGAGGCCGCGAAGAGATCCTTGCTCTTCAGACATGGTTGCATAAAGTTCTAAGCATTTGTGCTGTTACCGTCTTTCGAACCTTTCCTTACCTCTGAGATCTGTCACGTGGGAAGCAGCAGGCTTGAAGTACTCACGCGCAACGTTCAGCCAGTTATTCGACCACTTCCTCGGAATCATCTATCCGAAGAGATAGTGTGAACATGCACATTCACATTTTCATTCATTTCCACGCGTGTTTATTCGAATCGCATGACCCTCCTCTCTCCCCATCCCCCGAACTGGCGATACTTTGGAAGTTCCTGTCATTGCTGCTCTCTTTCTGCCTTAGCCTGGTACGGATAGAATACGGGTGAAGTTTTCGAGGCCGTGGGGGGATCGAAGGGGTTTTTAACCTCTTGTTTACGAAGCTACGAAACGAGGAAATATAGCCTTCAGATACGGGTCTCGATTGTCCAGGTGAGGTATTTCCAGCCCTCGGGCTCCATTCTTAGCCAACCTTTTTCTGCTCTCTTATGTCAACGAGGTTTTTAGTTGTGAGTGGGATTCCTTCCATTTCCGTCACTTCATTTCCAAAATTTTTAACTGATGACTATTACGGCTAGAAGAAACACGAATATTTAAGGTTAGGAAAAATCTGTTCTTAAGAAATTGTGTGCCAAACTCTTCATTTTTCTTCCAAGAAAACTGTTTTATTGTTTCAAGCCACTTGATTCATTACTTGTATGTATGTATATATGGGTTGTGCGAATAAATTACTTCTCTATTATCACACATTACACATAATATACATTTAACAGTGCTACTGTCGCGATCAACCAAAGCGATCGACACGGCCGATATCGACAGATCGATTTGAGGCGGTTGATCTCCATTGCGTCATCTAAAACTGGGCGGGTTGTCGATATAAATTTGTGGCTAGAAATCGAAATAAAGCGTTTTATGGCTCACATTGCGATTTCCTGCGCCAGACCGCCTTGTCCAACTCTAGAAAATGCTAGACGTACTTTCGTTGACCAAAAACAATTTCAGTTTATGCTATTCGCAATGCGATTGCACACAGATCTACAGATCCCGTCTCGACGCCACACATCCCACAAACGCATCTCATTGAGGGAAGGGAGGTGGTGAATTTCAATAATTTTGAGTTCTGTTGAGTTCACCAGTGATGACATCGGAAGCAGTCATGCTTGGGCTTATAGAGAACACAAACCAGGGCGGCAGTCAGCCCAACAGACACACTTCCAAGCAAACATAATATTATTTGTGCCCGAGGTGAACTACTTGCTTAGGGTCTCCCAAATGGAAAGTTTTCCCTGTAATCATATGACATATAGGTTAGCGGATGTAGCTGGCGCCCACTCGGGTATTCGCTGATCGGCGGGATGATGGGTGAGTTGTGGCACTCTTTGATATGCCCTTACAAGTTGCAAAAGGGAGGAGTGATGAAACAATGACGACAAACCTCCGTTGAGTCTGGAGGACGTCAGCGGATGCGGTGAATCACGAGCTCCCAATCAGTGTCAACCGTCTCATGAAATTTTCCCAGTTAACACGTTGACGACAGGCTGACGCGCAAGCGCGTCAGACATTTGGCACCGTATTGGACATTCTGACGCGCATGCGCGTCTCCACCTTTTTCCTCGGCCATGTCCGACTTCTTCCGAAATTTTTTTGTTACTGTTATATAGACAATACATCATCATGCCTGTAAACGGTGTGGTCCATGAAGCGGTCGAATATGCTTTAGTTAAGCGAAGGTTTTCTGAACCTCACTAAGTTTTCCGTTTATTTTAATCTCGACTACTATTTTGGGGTAAACAAGCATAAAAACAAAATATAAATGCAAACAACAATGTGATACATAATGTAAAGAAATTACGGTTCTATGGATGAATGACTTGTGTTTTTCATTGAAGCATTACATTACAAAAGATTTTGGACATCTTCCGCAGCGCATTTTGACCCATTTTGTTTATTGAGGCCGCGAAGAGATCCTTGCTCTTCAGACATGGTTGCATAAAGTTCTAAGCATTTGTGCTGTTACCTTCTTTCGAACCTTTCCTTACTTCTGAGATCTGTCACGTGGGAAGCAGCTGGCTTGAAGTATTCACGCTCAACGTTCAGCAGTTATTCGACCACTTCCTTGGAATCATCTATCCGAAGAGATAGTGTGAACATGCACATTCACATTTTCATTCATTTCCACGCGTGTTTATTCGAATCGCATGACCCTCCTCTCTCCCCATCCCCCGAACTGGCTAGACTCTCCCAGGCTCATTAGCTAAGAGGGTAGAGACCAGTAGCGTGCGTCTTCACTGGAAGCCCTCCCCTAATAAGCGTTGTACCTTTGTTTTGCCCTTTTTCAGTTTTGAATTCCGAAAAAACGCACCTCGTGGGACAAGCTGACGCGCTTGCGCGTCAGGCAAATCGCGCCCGCCAAAGCGCCTCATGTCCCATGCGGCGGAAAAAGCCAAAACCTGCGCTGTCGTCAACGTGTTAAAAGAGCCGTATCCTGTCATTCTCGGAAGGGAATCGTATTTCCGCGGGGACAGGGTAGAAAGAATTGTTCAGGGACTTGGAAATGTTCCGTATGAACTTTGAGTAATACGAGCGGTGTTCGAAATGTGTCAAGGAACACGGTAAAACCACACTGAATGGACGTCACCGACCACTTAAAAGAACACTCGCGAAAGGTTCCCATATGCGACTTCCATCATTAAGTTTACCTACTATAATGAACCGACATCGACGATTTCAGAGGGTTGTATTTGGCTTCATGGGACGCGATGGAAATGGTGTTGGGTGGAACTGACAACAGATTTTGGGAAAGGGAAATAGAGCTAGGAATGATGACAACTCAACTCTATACTTATGGGTTTTCGACAAAAATGTCGGGTAATCTTCACCCTGGCTGCTCTATCTAATTATACCACGCAATACCTCTTGCTGTTGAAACTTCCTCGAACAAAAGTCAAGCATAAGCCAATTGAAAGAAAAGGGGAGGAAGACACAGGAAGTATGGAAGAAGATGGGAGGAAGATCTTCGAGAGAAAAGTCATGGAACCCTGGGACGGCGAGTCTCAGTGTCCACTCGGAGCGATAGTTTTACCCAAATTTCGTCGTCAAGTGGCTCATTCTGCAACATGGGTATCGACTACAGCCGGGCCTAATCATCCTAATCCGCTAATTTTTATTATCGATGTCCGTTCACTTGCGTATTCCACCATCTTATTTCCTCGTCTCCGCACGAGCTGTCTGTTAGCACTAAAGCAATGCAATCTGCACTTATAATAATATTGAGGTTTTGATGACAAGCTGGGCCAAAGTAATCAACCTTGAGATTATTGTTGTTACTCGAAATTCGTTAAGACAGAGTATACCTAAATAATTAGAAGTCAGAAATGGAGCGAAGTAGAAGGCGCAAATGGCGCCAGCCTAGGTCTGTCATCGAAGCACTAAATCCGTGCATACCAGGTATGGGTGGAGTTATTCACACTCCGCTAGCGAATTTTTGACTCTTAGCCGTTCACTAGTGGCATTAATGCACATTTCCCGCATCACTTTTGCTTGCGCTGTCTTATCATATCATTATCATGGTCCCCACATTGGCTCGCAAATCAACAGCCTTTTTCATAGCTTACTTGCTAAGAAACCAGATCACAGGAACCCTAATGAATTTTGATTTTTTTATAGGGCAAGGTATAACACTCAGTCTTCATAACACGGCACATGCTTTCAAAGCTGTTCAACTCCACAGAATATTTCTAAGAATCAGTGAAGCTGCTGGTGCACCGTTCGCATCATGCATGTTTTACAAGGAACCAGATGCGATCCGACTACCTATCAAGTAGGCGAAGTTACCGTAAAAAGATACGTACCTGTGCCGTTTACGGAAGTCATACATGGCTTCTGAAGCCACCACACTGCCAATGTCGCTGCTGAATTCACATTCCTCGTCAACAAGAATCGGATGACGCCCAGAGCTCTCGACAGCCGCGCCCTGACGAGTCGCCGAAGTGGGAGTCGGTGCTTCAGTGTCCTGTGGATCGAGACAGTCGACAGTATTTTGGCTAGCACTCAGAATTGGCGTTTCTGGAAGCTCACATAAGTGAAGATATGACGAGAGCCTATCAGTATGAAGGTAACTACCTTTTGCAAGGAGGCTTCCCCAATCTCGGAGAGGGCTTAGGTGGAACGACGACTACAATGTTGGGTAGGTTACTGTAGTCTGATGAGGATGCTTCAGAAGTTGTCTGCATGTGGTCAGCCCGCACTGTTCTCTGTAGCTGCAAGAACACATTGAGAAGAGTTCAGAGGACGGTTCGGTGTTATGCGCAATTGTCATGATGATAGCCAGGTAGGCTTGAGTAGTCTCCCAACCCTGCCATGCGGCTTATCTTTTCGAGTCGTGGGAGCTGTTCCGCGGACAATTGTGGTGGATCAGGTAACGAGTCCATGATTGCCGGGGAGACAGAGCAGGTGCTGAACCGGGAAGAAGTGCTAAAAAATTCCGAATGACTCGCTGACACCTAGAAAATTTTCCTTGTATCTTTCTGCCTAATTCGTGACATCCTTTTGCTGAACTTCGTTTAGAGTGAAGTGAGTGTCACAAGAATTGAATGCTGTCGGAAAAAATACCTTTCAATCCGACTACTGTGCAGCTCCTGTACACTTAAGTGCTCGCCAGTGCCTTGAATTTGATGAGTCGAATTCGATCGCAACGTATCCGTAAATGCTCTAGAAGGCAAGGTTATTTTTTCGCAAGAAATTTGTCAAAAAAAAGTGTCGAAAAGTATGCGGATTGGTCTCAATAGTTGAATGACGACCTCTCTTGCAATTTTAAATTCGCAAAAATAAAAGCCCGATGTAAACCATGCCAACAAAGTATTTCATTCCATTTGATTCTGTTTAAGTAAAAGCATAAGGCAAAGGAGGATTCTACAATAAGGTCGGAGGAACGAAGAAGACGGGAACTGTCGAAAGGCAGGCGAACCCCTCATGGTGCAGGACGCGCGCGTTTCGCAGCGAGGAGTATGTCCTCAGCGACCGTACGGTCGTACCCTCTCCACTCGCGCCGCAGCACGCCCAGCGACTGGCTAGCCGCTCGCTGCAGATTTCTAGCTGTTCAGCAGAGAGAGCATTAGCGTAGAGGAGGGCATGAGAGCGCATCAATGTTGAAATCAACGGGCAAAGTAGGGACCCATTTCTCGGATTCAGTACGTTTTCCAAGTTTTTCTTCAACCCTGCACCACTGAACACCCCTACTTTGATACCCTATGTGCTGGGTTTCCATTGTGAACTCTGCTTTCAATATCAGTTGACACCCATTTACAATCCATAATCCATTAAAGGAATCCTCCCCGGAAAAATCGTGATTCTATATCACCCATAAATCACTGGCTTGAGACCCACTGTCCACGATTGAAACACAAAAAATTGCATTTGTTTTGGTAAACAATTCGAAAAACCGGAAGGACTGCTACGCGTTCAAAGTTCCCGCCGGACATCTGTCACAAATGCTGGCGGGGAACGCTTCCACTTGGTTTACAGATTCACTAGAAACTCTTTTTGCCTTTTGACTTATTGCACTGACATCTCACACTTCTACTGCATCTATTCTATCGATTGTTTTGTCTCTATTCTCCAAAATCGCACGCTTTAACCCGATTCTTTCAATGCGTCGCCTGATACGAAAAAAGGCGCACTTTTCCATGCCCGCCTTTGGCTCCGCGCGATACCTTCGACTGTCCATAGTGTGGTTTTTGTGAGTTTGTTTCTCTTCAGAAACCGAATCTTCATGCGTGAAACTTTGTGTGCTGTTTCTAGTGATCACAACTGACATATTCATGTTAGAAAGAATGCAAGAACTTTCCGAGAAGGATTCCTTCGACGTGACCGGCACGACCCAATCACCTTTACTCTCAATACTTCTCAGCAGCAACGCTGCGTACGTCGAAGTATTACAGTTTGCAAGCACTCACCTTCCCGACTTTCTTCCAAGTGTTGATATATGATTGAGCTTCAGGCGTATAGTTGACACCTTCTCCGACGTCAATGACGGCGGGGACGAAAAAGAGTCCATCGGCTTAAACACCGCTCATTCAGTAATTGGAGCAATGAAAACGCTTTTAATATTAGACGGCTTACATGGATAATGTCCAGTCGTGGGCGAGCGTCCCTCATTTCCGAGCGGAAAGTGTGCTTGAAGATCTGGAATTTTGATGACGAGTAAATGCACGAACTTGATTATGAACCATTTCCTGAACTTTCTACATTCGAATATGAGCACCAGTGCTCTCACGCGTAGTGTCGCAGCTATTTTGGTGTTCATGAAACCGTTTAACCGTTTAGAAAATAAAGCACCACTATTACTTCGGTGAAAGCGCTTTTTGGACCAACGATGTACCACTGGGTGCTATGAGATGATTTAATAGAAAAACCAGGAGACCGACGTTCGCTAAAAAATCTTGCCGCTGTTACAGTCGATGTGTGTACTGAGCAAATTTCAATAAAAACATGCAGGACAGAATGCTCGATATAAAAAACCTAACTATTAGAAAACAATCAGTTATGTCAAAAATCGGCGTATAATTGTAAACAGTATCGCTATACGGCACAATACCACTAGAAGATCCTAAACGCAGATAAGTAAGCAGAGTGTCACAGGAAGGCGGAGTTTCTAGCGCGTGCGCGGTATCAGCTGAGCATCCGAGTTTGTGTGGGCCAGGTCTCATCATGCTTCCTACAAATAAAACTCCGCCTCACAGCACACTCGTGACCAACTCCATACCAAGCAGGATTATGCGAGAGAAACGAAAGCTAAGCGGAGCGCTAAACAACTGAATTGGATATAACTGCAGACGACAACAGGTTCAGTCAGACAAAGCAACGCATCTGCATCTATTCGGATAAAGACAACTTGGGCCGGAGTAGACGCAATGTAAGAACAAATTATAGCTCACACCTAAAAAATGCTGATGTAGGACCATTCAAGCGAACTACAAAACCACTATTTGGATTTTCCCTTGTCTCAGTTACGAGGAACCACATGATTGAAAGTTGTGATCAATATTATGCATAACCTTCTAGCCGGAAGTAAGACTCAGTTAATACCATGTTACGGAAAGACCGCTGCGCAGGGGCGGAGCCATTAGAAAAAGATATTTTCTCCCCGCTAAAAAGAGTGATTTTTGAATCCAACTCTTTCATCCACCGAATACAGGAGGAAGGATTATTAAAAGTCACTTTTTTTCTTCCGAACGGAATGTACGTTACTTTTGTCAGAAGTCAAATGAATGCTCCCCCAACGAAGATTGAGATCGAGCACATTCGATCTAATAATTTTGCTTCACGTTAGCCTTATTTTTGATAGAATTCGAGTAAGAATTTTTCACAGGAGAAGCAATGGTCACACGGACCAGATCACGAGGGGTTCGAGATAGTGTTAGCATTTAAGAAAGAGATAAGTATATAGCTGCGTTGGGGGCATTTTTTATTATCCCACACAGAGCTACTATCTTCAGAGAACTATCCACCCGTAAACCAATTGAGGAAGGCAGCGGCTTCAGATTGGCGAATACCGTAGACCTCCTTGAGCTTGGCCGCGATGACAGATGACGTCATATTCTGAAGGCGGTGCGGGCAGGGTAAGAAAGGACGAGTACTTAATGGCGCGGGTTTGGTGTGTGTTTTTCATGGTGCTGCATTAATGGTGATTCTTTTTTTAATTAGGAAAAGGTGGTAGCCCAACACTTTATCAACGGCATGGCACCAAATCATGAGGTTTTTTCAAAAAGTTGCTGGTTTTAAAGCGAACTCCCTTTTTTGCCGTTCCCCTTCTTTAACGGTTTTTTTCTCTTGTGAGTTGACAAGACAGATGGGGCATATGACAAATCAAATCCCAGCCCGTTTTTTTTTCATCCAAGGACGTCACCGGGACCACTTGCCTCCGGAGTAAGGGGATCGCAGTAGTGTTCACTGCATTTGAGTATCATCTCATAGCCATTTTTTTAAACAGGATAAGGCAGGCATCGGCAAGAAGATAAGCGGGTCAATGGGATTCATAGCGAAGGAAAACGAAAAATCGAGTAGCGTGGAGGAGGTGGGGGCGAGCAGGTGCAATTAGGCTGTTCAGGACGATCAGAGCGGCTAAGGCGCGTTTGGCGTATCACAGGAATGTGGTGGAGTTGAAGAGGTAATATCTCAGACAATCGAACGAAACATTTGGGGATCATAGAGAGGGACAAGAAGCGAAGAAATACTTGCCAGAAGACGGGTCAGGAAGATGCGAGGGCTTGGAAAGCATTTAAACCTCGGATAGGGATTTACGTTCCTTGTTTGAAGACAAAAATGGTGTGGCTTGATCACAACAGAACCACGACACTTTTTCAGTGAGCATTTTGTATTGTCTTTATAAGGCTGACGCTCCAGACAATGAAAAGGGGCAGCGGCACTTCGGCTCCACGTGAAATTTGTTGAAATCAGGCAGCCATTTTTTTTGAGGCAAAACGCCTAGCTGGACAATTCCGCAGAAAAGAATCTCAGTTATGTGACCAATAGGAAGTACAACACGTCGGTAGAAAGGTATTAGAGGACAGTGACGGTGAAAGGAATATTGATAGCGATGTTAAGGCTAGTTGTTACAATTACTGCTCAATAGTAGCGAACACATGAAGCGGAATTTCTCTCCCGGGTTGTTTAGGTTTTTACAACCCGAGTTAGATGCTTGTTAGTTTCTAAATTGAGGATGTCGCTATAGATATTACCGAATTCAGGAAAATTCGTCGATGTGTATCCTTTCAAATGTACTGACTCAGGGAAACACATAAAAATGGGGAGGGAGGGATCGGGTTGTTGGAGATAGCAGGGCATTGCGTTTTTGCCAGCATGGCTTTTTTTGATCGACTCGCACTGCCGTTGTTGACAGCGGTGCGCCAATCATGGTGCACGAGCGATCTCGGAATTTGGTGTTCTTTCAACAGGTGGACGGTCGGATGTTTGCATTCCAGGTTTGCGCAGATGTTGTTATTTCCTAGGAGGAACAAATGAACTTGTTGTGTCTTGGTTAATCCAATTAGTTGTTATAGTCGCCAACTTAAGTAAGAGCACATAGTGCCTTATTAAATTGGCCTTGAATAAAAGTACGTTCTTTCGAAGCAAGATTTTTAAGTTAATGGTAATCAGGAGCTGAAGCTGCAGCAATTAATGGTGTTTAGCCAAGATAGAGAATTAAATGTGAGTTTTTGTGTGGCCAGCAGCGAACATCATTTATTTTAATTTTATTTGTTTTCGGGGCGCTTCTTCCACTTAACTTGCCTTTTGGCTGTATACTTTTGAAGTCTCGTGGTTTTAGGCACTCATCTTCATAATAACTTCTACTTGAAATCCTACTCGCGCTTGCGCTACCTCGTATCAAAATCGATAATAAATGTTCGGCATCAATTTGATAATGGGTGTAATACACCCACATCCCTTGAAGTCCAGTGGAGGGTGAAATGCACCTACGAATATCCTGTAAACTGAATAAACCTCATTGCTGTTCAATAAACATGCTTAAGCAGGTTGTGGGGTAAAGGAACGAACTTGTTGCCATCGCTTTTTTTCACCAGAACTTGGTCAGAGCAGATTTTTTGATCCCTCACTACCGCTGTTATATAATCATTCGATAGCCACTTGGAATGTTCATGACAATTCAAATAGGCAAAATTATAACGTAGTCCTAACAAAAATTGTGACTTAGCAAGACAATAAAAAAAACAAAGTGGTAAAGGACCCTCTAAAAAGGATTTTGAAAAATATCTGTCCCGTGTGGCCGCATGCGCCACCATGTGGCGCGACCCGGGATCCGCGAGATGCGGAAGTGCGAGGGATGCGCGGCCAGGGGCGAGGCTCGCAGCTGCCAAAAACGGGCTTGGTAGGTCGCAAGGTCGTTAAGATAGAGGTTTAGTCTTTACGAAGGTCACCTTGTTTCATGGCAGACGATGGCTTGCACAGTATAATGAAGCTGGTCGAAGGCTGTCGTATAATGAAATAAGTCTGCTCGGAGAATGACGATTTCCTTCGGGACTCGCGACCGCCAAGTTCTGTAGAAGCACTGTGTGTAAGCACTGGCTGAGTGAGGAGAACCACATTTATACAATGATTCCTCGATGAGTATGAACGGACAGAGAAGCTGGGCTCTGCGCCGAAAGTGAGAGAGATGAGCACGGCCCAGCTTTTAGCGCTATCAAGTGGCTGCGAGATACCGCCATCGTTCGCGGTGAGGGCGGCACAACAGGCTCATTCCTGCATTACGAATTTCCCGGTATTTGTGACGGTGTAGGTAGCAGCAGCAGTCCGAATTTTACTCCAATACGCGCTTCGAATGATCAGGAATGTCGTTGCAATTGGCATGAAATTGACGTAAGGGCATTTGGCACAAGTGGCAAATTCTCGGATGGTAAAAGTTGACATCACGGGAGGCGTCGAAGGATGTTTCTTGAAGCGATGCACGATTAGGTGCATCACGTCAATTTCGAGCATGTGGTCACCAATTTCATGGTCGAGTGTTGGAAGGCGGTGCGGTCACTCGACCGGACTTTGTTATCCAGATCTATTAGTATAAGCAGCCAGACGTGGCACAGCGATGCGGAATTGGGATGTGATTGGGAAGTGTCAGAGGCTGTGTGTGTGTGTGTGTTGATTTCTTGAAGAAGATGGAATGTGTTCAAGAAAGCAAAACACAGATAGCAGCATAACACTTTTCCTTGCAGAAGTTCAGCAGACCGTGCGGGAGATGAAGTCGATATTGGATCATTGTGGTCCTGTGCCAGAGGTCATCGTTAATGTCAGCGCAGGCATTCAAACAAAGGTGTCGCATATCGGGATTCGGAAAGGTGGCTCACCAGTCGGCGCGGAAGCGGGTCGTCGTTCGTAGGTGACGACATCACGGGAACACGGTCAGTAGGATGGGAGTGAGTCGTGTGTTAGTTTGCAGTCCGTGCGGTGCGCGTTGTCCGCACGAACCGTAAGCTATGAAAGGAGACTAGGAGCCGACATTGCCGCCAATTCTCCAGTGCATTAGGCAGTACTAGCATCAATTGTTGTAAAAAGGAATTATTAAGTTCGATTTTATAGGAAGAACTTCTGATTTGGGCGACCCACAATTAAGTTGCACATGTGGAGGTTATGTGATCCTCGTGCATTTCCATTAGTCGTACTTGTGTATAAGTTGGGGACAGTGCACAGGGAAGTTCAGTTTCACTCCGCCTATCGAGAGCGTGGTTTGGATGGTGTTAGGAAATGCTGCGAGTACTAGTGCGGCAGAGTACGGGTCCGCGGGCCGCGTGCGCTCAGTCCTTTCATCCTCTGCAGAGCTGCTTGACGTCACCAGCCGCGCTCGCGGCACGCTGCCGGTTAGCTGAGGTCTCTCGAGAATAGTTAACCATGGTTGGGGAAAATGCAAATGGGAGAGGGATGAGATTAGGAAAAAACGTCACGAATAAGGTGAGAGTCAGGCGAAATTGAAAGATTTGCTGCTTCATCACACACATAACCCACACCCCATCCCCACCTCGACAGCAGTGAAATTTCGAGTGGTCATATTGGTGAAACCATGTACATAAAACCTATCAGCAGCAATCATGAGAGCAGGGAGCACCGATACGCAGTCGCGGGTCAGGCTATAAGGCGATCCCGTAGCGAGGGGGGAAGCCGTCTCGATGCAGTCGTGATCAGTTACTCTATTCGTACTGAACGCAAAATGAGCTCCTTCACTTCTTTTCATTTGGCGCCGCACGATCAATAGGGTTGCCAATGTCGAAGCTGGGGCCCATACTCAACTATTTATGCTGCTGATGCGATGTTTAGTTAGGTAGAAGCTTTCATGAGCAAATCTCCTTCCTTTCTCTCTTTTCCCCATCCCCAACATGATCCTCGAAAAGCTCCGCCAAACAAGGTTTTCGCTTGAAATCATGAACAGGAGAAGGGCAGTACATTAATAATAAATGTAATTACATGTCATTATCTCTCCTGTCAGTGTACACCCCACCAGCGACTCACAAGCCTTCCTAAAATTTTGCGCAACCTCATCATGAGGCGATGAACCACTCGCACTCTCTCCTCGCCAATCTGTCAGTCCAGGATGACCTAGAAACTTAGATGGGAAACCCATTAGGGTTGGAATAAAACGCAAGCTACTGGCTTGCTAAGAATGCGCTGCAGTGGTACAACGCAGGTATGCTATTGGTCTGCACCGCCACATTTCTGCGTTGGGATGTGTGTTGTTTTTGGGTGGGCGGGAGTGCCGCTGGATGTTGTGCTATCGAGTTCTCGATCCAGTATTCTTGTTTACCATACCTGCGACATATCGTAAAATCAAGGCTACTCATTCTGGACATGGCCGCTGTTGTCTAACGAAAAAATGGCAGAGATTTCGAGATGTAAGTAACCAGTCGTGGAAACACCACGGATCTGTTGGAAATTAATCATAACAGATAGTCCAGTTAGACGTACAAAGGAACAAGGACCAGTTGTTGTGAGCATAGCAACTAACAGTCTCTCAATGCGAAGTTTGTCGTTGTGAAGTACCTGTCCTGGGGACTCCACGCTTTGTGTCTTCGAGTATAAGGAGTTTCAGATACCGAGAGTAGATTGGTAGTGCAGCAGGGGCGGTGGGGGGTAGCAGTGCGGTGCTTGTGGAATTCTTTCTCGGTTTGAGAATTCTCGAATTTTCGACAGCTCTATCTTCGCATTTCGTAATTTCACAGTTGATGCATTAATCTTAACGTCCTATCATAACCAGTCATTATTTATTAGTACAGCGATGATTCTGATTACCACGTAATGTTTTGTGGTAGGTGACCAAAATTTTTGTACACCAAGACAATTATAAGCACTAAAAAAAAGAAATGTTAGCCTAGAATAAAGCCATCAGATCAGATTATGTGAGAGTGTTTGAGATCCGAAATAGTCGCAAGGAGCTATAGAGAGTGAGTTTCGTGTAGAGTAATGGTTG